ACAATTGACCTGCATTAGCATGTATGAGTGCCGCCCACTGGCTTGCCATTGTTAGCGAAGGGGCCCCAGGTTGTCCGCGATCAAGTGTAGTGCGATGGGTGAAGCAAGGCACTAGGCGTGTGCAGCTACGCACGGAATCAATTTCATCGTCATGCAATGCATGTGCACTAGCCTACATCTGCTCTACCTTTCACAAACCAAATGGGTTTGCTCATTGCTGTGCACCGCCTATTTCTCGTAAACGCGTTCTCTGTGCGGTCCAACTTATCCTTGTTTGCCAGTAGAATCCATTTATGTATGCTAGGTTGGGGCCTAAAGATCTTGACATTGAAGCCCAGGTGATGGATGATTGATTACTTCTGATTGCAATTTTTATCCATGTTTGGGGCTGCTGGTATTTGCAGTTTTGCCCTTATTAGGATTTATTATACTACATTGGTTTAGATTGTATGAGGGTGTAAAGTGTTTGATGACATAATGTCAGCATAATAATTCATGTTCAGGGCTTCATCGGCTGATACCCTTGCCCTGATGCTGAATATGTAAAATATTTAAATATGTATATAGGTTATCAAGGCCATTGCCACAGTGCCTCCACAGTCTAAGTCTTCCAACATGTACTATAGCAATATATATATATTCAGTAATAAACATTATTTATCTTATTCTTATTGTTTTAAGATATCTTCTGCATGAGTGAGTGAGTTTAGTTTTACGCCTCGCTATTCCAGCAATATGGCGATGGACTGTAAAAATCAAGTCTGGACCAGACAATCCAGTGATCAACAGCATGAACATCAATAACCTACCATCTTCAATTACCAAGCATCACACCAATTCTGACCAATGTGCATTTTGGTATTGATATTTTGCAGGGCAAGTGAAGTATGATGTGGGGGGTGGCACCGTTTTTACTTTACTAGCCCTCCTGGTCAGTGACTTTTCAAAATTTACTTACACACGGACACTAACCCATGGATCCATTCTTGTCATTTTCAACATCTCAAATTACCCGCCCTTGACTTAAAGGTCGCATATTCCAGCCATATGGTGGCGGTCAGACGATCCAGTGATGTAGAAATGGACATCGAACTTCAGGGAGTGAGTGAGTGAGTTTTACCGCCGCGACTCAGCAATATTCCAGCTAGTGGCGTAATCTGTAAATAATCGAGTCTGGACCAGACAATCCAGTGATCAACAACATGAGCATCGATCTACGCAATTGGGAACCGATGACGTGTGTCAACCAAGCCAGCGAGCCTGACCACCCGATCCCGTTAGTCGCCTCTTACGACAAGCATGGGTTACTATTTATAGTATCAAGTTTATAGTATCTATGTCGTCTGACAGTTTAGGGATTCCAAACTAGTTATGTCGCCTCGTATATTAGTTCGAAGGTTTTCCGGGCAGTGATTCTCTGTGAACGAGAGTGTACAACGGCAGTAATACCTTACCCCAAATATTTGTTCAGGGGCGGATACAGCTTATTCACCCAAGTTTCAATGGTCATTTAATAAACTTTCAGGATAAAAGGTGTGGGGTGGGTGGGTGTGCACCCCCTGGCAAACCCAAACCATCACCACCCCATTCCCCCCACCCCCACACACACACACACACACACACACACACACACCTCTCTGGATCCGCCTATGTAGTTATATCTTCCAATTCCCTCCCTTCAGGGGAAGGACATGTATATTTGCCCGGGCCCGACATCCCTAAGCAACTAAGTGCTCGAATAAAAGATGAAGCATTGACGTATCTGATACCTATCCTGGGCCTCCTTTCACAAAGCACTAAGGTAATCGTAAGTCACTAAGGTAACCTTAGTGCAGTGTTAAAGAATGGGAGTTAAGGTTAACCTTAGTAAAGTTTCTTCGTGAAAGGAGCCCCTGGGCCAACTTGCACAGAACAATCTTAGTTACAATCAATCTTAGGCCCTTACAATCAACATTACAATCACCATACAATTGCCTTAATCCACTTGCACAAAGCCGGTCTTAGCGCGATTGTAAGATGACATGGATTTAAGATCGCGATCTTAGCTAACCACTCCCATCTTGCGTAAAAACTAAGATTAGCTGCCCTTGAGTTATTGAAAAGGTCGCGGCCATTGTTAATCTCGTGCAGACACCTTTCGTTACTATCCTTTCCTCGATTATCTAAAAGGTAGATCTATGTTGTTTCACACTTCTTCCAACACTGAGCCGGGTGGGAATAGTACTTTATGATATCGACTGATAGTTATGTAGTTCACTACCGCAAATAACGATGTTTCTGACTTTAAATCGGTGGTGCATCCTCCCTGTTGTTGAAGTGTCGAGGCGAATCATACAATTTTATGTTATATTTAAGCAAGCTCCAAACGTAAAGCTGATTATTTGCGTGAAAGATAAACGAACTTGAACGCCATTTTGTTGTAGCGCTAGTTTTGAGATCGTTCGTTTTGAGGAAATTGGATGGGCCCTGGACGCCTAAATATATTGTCAGTCGTTCTCTTGAAATCCTAAATATATTGTCAGTCCTCTTGAAATCCATCCTCAGTAGCTGCCAATCAGTGTCAAATCAAATGTTTTTATGACATCGCCGAGCACGTGCATCACGCTGTATGTTCATTTCCCGCTCGTTCCACTATCTTTGTGATTGACATGACTCACTTGCTGATACCGCTTCTGTTCACATGTCACGGCGGAGGGACACCAGAAATGGGCTTCACACATTGTACCCATGTGAAATCGAACCCCGGGTTTCGGCGTGACGAGCGAACGCTTTAACCACTAGGCTACCTCACCGCCCAGATAATTCAGTCATAGTGTGAGGAATTATCACAAGACTTTATCAAAGGAAAACCTTTCTTGTAAAGTGTTTTGAGTCTAGAATAGAGAATAGCAAAACCCTCTGTACATGGACTCTGGACAGCTTGACAAGTTTGTCTTTGTGATTAGTGACCGGAAATTACGTCACTGAAAGTAATTAAACTATCTTCGTCAGATATGCGTATCCCGAGCCGCAGTGACAAAGTGTACAATGTTTCAGTCAAGATAAGCCTGTGTGTAATTGTAAGACAACACCTGTCCCACCAACAGGTGTGCCGTTTACCGTCAGTCGTGATGATCAATACATGCCTGTTGACGTGGCCAGCGTCAGCTTCACATGTTGGATTCATGTATAAATCATAATAATTATTTCATCTGTCAAACCACTCAAAAAGACTAAGTTTTAACATAAATCTAAAAATATTGACAGGGTGATAATCAAATTACAAACAGGTCACACAATATTAAATTCCCACACAGGCGCGAAGCTAGCCAATTTTTTCGTGTAAGCCCGATAGGTTGCAAAGCCTTATATTCAGATAGTACTGAGGGCTTGCCCAGCCTTTTTAGCAAAATCATGTGTAGCCCGGGCTTTTTATAATGGTAGCTACGCCCCTGACATCTGCATAGAATTAAAACATAACCACATCAAACAGACCAGTGCACCAGTGTTTGCAATACTTTAATTTGCCAGTTGGCCATCAGGGCCTGCTGGTGTCAGTAGGCTTTCAAATCTGCAGGCCCAGAATGAAATCTGCAGGCCCATTTTGTTAAAGTCAAACAAATAAACACAAAATCGACCACACTGTACACAGTTTCACACTGTTTAATTCTGTCATTATAACCAGTACAACACTGGAAATGTGGAATGATATCAAATTCCTGTTAAAAACAAACTTGACAGATAATTTACTGAAAGCCACTAGGGCCTGCAAGTATTTGAAACTGCGGCCCCATACAATAACAACCGGCGCTGGGCCTCCGGGCCGGTGATTATTTCGAAGGCTGCAACACACACTGCACTGAAATACCTGAAAACGTCCTACTCCGTGTGTGAAATACACACTATGTGGGAAAGCGTATGTTAAGTCTCCAAATCATCATCATCATCATCACCACCATCATCATCATGTCCTACTACATTGCATATACAACGACACGGAATGGTGCTCCAGAGTTCACTGGACACAAACACACACCTAACACTGCAAACACTCCTAAGCCCACTAAAAAACACCCAAAACTTCAAAGCCTTAAAATTATATGTCTAATCAAAACTAGACTTCTAGATCGCACACAATCCCGCTTAAGCAACTAGTACCAATATAACAAACTACCCAAAACACATCACCTGAAAAAACGAACAAAGAACCAACAAATGCCAGCCAAACCACCCTGTAGTTCAACTCCCCTTACCACTTCTGGCAAACTTTGTTTCAAATTTAAAATTCACACACACATTGAATATGCAACCCTAGCTCCCCTTCGGATTGTCATATCTTTCAGTGATAAGCACACCTTTTTCGATCAAACATTAAATGAATACACAATGCCATTTAGAATGTTACATTTGGGATTACACTTTCTCAGTAAAGAAGCTATTGGTGGCTGAGCGGGTTAGGTGGCTGACTTTGTGTGCTGGCGATGAGGTGCCTGACTCTGAGGGTGTGGGTTCGAATCCTGGATGGGACTCAACCCAACAAAAGTACTAGACTCTGTTCTTTACTGAGAAAGTGTAATCCCAAATATAACAAGTGTTAAACATTAAATGGTCTGGCAGGCCCATGTGCTAAGTTGTCGTCATCATCATCATCATCACCACCTTTGCACAGATGCAATAACTGTGACAGATATCTTTTTTCTCAACAGTCTGTAGCAATATGCTAAATGAAACTCGCTCCTCAAAACATCTGTTTTATGAGACACATTTTCAACACCAGAATCCCAACATGTGGGGATTAACTTTAGAGTGAGTGACTGAGTGAGTGAGTGAGTGAGTGAATGATGATGATTTACACCGCTTTTAGCAACATTCCAGCAATATCACGGCAGGGACACCAGAAGTGGGCTTCACACATTGTACCCATGTGGGGAATCTAACCTTGTACCTTTAACCACTAGGCTACCCCACCGTCCCGATTAATGTCATTCTAAAATAACTGGACTACAAACATGACAAAGGCGTTTTGATGTATATGTTTTATTGTTGAATGAAACAGATATTCCCAACCCCTTGGCCATTAGCACTGACTTACTAATAAGTCATAAACCTGGAAAGAGAAATCCTTGATCGAAGAGCTGGGGCACCAACCCTATAAATCCTTTGGTGTTCAAGTGTGGAGGCATCTATTTTATGATTTGTGATCACCTGATGAGTTTTACCTTTTAATTCGTTTACTTTAATGTACCAGGCCCCAAATATATTTGAAACTAATTGTCCAGTATGACTCCACCTTACCGCCCCCATGAGTTACTTCCCTTTCTTTTGACAAGCACAAAGAAAACAATTTTCACTAGTGACACAATAAAAAAGTGAGTAAAAGTAGCTTCAATAACCTGAAATTTAACAACTACTTCTGTAACATACAATCTATGAGGCAGAACTTGAAATTAGAAATTTTGAAATTAAATCAACTAAAATTAAAAGAATATATGCATATTAAGCTATCTGTAATATTAATATCAAAACAAATAAAAATCAAAGATAAAGAAAGTACATTTGCATAATATGCTTAAACAGAACTATGACAAGTTTTCCTGTTGAATTAAAGCTTGAATTTCAATAGTTAACCTGCAACAGATGCAGGACACAATGGCAGACATATTGCACTTTATACAGGTGAAATGAACAATAGGCAATAAATAATGATATTGACAAGTGTCTGAGATTCACGATGCTTGTCACGTATCTTGGAATAACGCCAGGCCACCTGAAACAAGACAGAATATACATACAATTGCTTGCTGCATTGATAATCATGATAATATACACATGAAAAAATATCAAGCACAGTGAGAGTGAGTGAGTGAGTGAGTGTTGGTTTTACGCCGCTTTTAGCAACATTCTAGCAATATCATGACGGGGGACACCAGAAATGGGTTTCACACATTGTACCCGGGTTTTAAATGTGGCGAGTGAACGCTTTAACCATTAGGCTACCCGACCGCCGACTTAAATGTGTAAGATACCATCAGTACCTAATGAAAATCTGGGTATCTGACCGGTTTGTTGTCATCATGTAAAAGCCAAAATACACTGGAATTACAGCATATATTGCAAACATTTTGAACAATTCGATCAAGACAAGCAAAGGGAGACAAGCATGGGGTACTGGGGAGACAGGGTGCTGGAAGGACGAGCATGGGATGCTAGAGACCTACTCTGCCCTGAAGTGTTACAGATGATGGTTTATAGTTTAACACCACACTGAGCTATATTCCAGTTATATGGCAACTGTCTGTAAATAATCAAATCTGGGCCAGACAATCCAGTGATCAACAGCATGAGCATTGATCTACAAAATTGGTGTAAACTTGTGTCAACCAAGTCAGCGAGCCTGACCACCCGATCCCGTTAGTCGCCTTACGACAAGCATGGGTTACTGAAGATCAATTCTAACCCGGATCTTCACGGGTACTTTTGTTTGAAATAAACCCACGATTTTAATCACACCTGCTGACGGATTACTCAACCGTCGGGGCAGGGAGGGGCAGGGGGTTTGATAAGCATGGGTTACTGAAGATCAATTCTAACCCGGATCTTCACGTGTCCTGAAGTGTTACATCCTCACCTATGTCATATTCACCTCAGCGTTGCGGTGTGCCCATCTTGGCTGGTTTTTTCAGGTAGTGATAGTTCGGCAGGATTTTAGCTAGGAAGTCAATCTGTAGTGTCTGGGCCTGAAACATAGCCAGCCTTTATTTCATCTGGTTTAGCCTGGAAAAACTGATTAAAGGGCTGCAGATACAGACTACAAATAACCCTTTCTGTCCACAGATGATAGATTACCCAAAGTCTGTCCAAAGAGCAATACTTCAATGACTTCGGAAGGCAAGTGTACAAAACAGCAGTCATGGTACTAAGTATTGTTTGTTCTCCTCAGACTTAAACTATATAGTAAGGATGATGAGAGATGGTAGTATCTGTCCATCATTGTATCTCAAGAGTGGTTTGTGTCATCACTGGAGATGTTTGTTCCATGATGTGCTGTCCAGCACAGGCCCTCGTGTCTTTGCGAGGACTAATTTTTTTTGGAGATGACCCGGACTCGAAATGCTTCACAGTACATGATGACATCATGACAAGGCCTGACACTTCAGTGCACCCTGCACGCCTGCTTTGCCGATCGCTATGCTACCATCGCATGCAGTCGATTTAAACTTAATGAAGGATGATCATGGATGATTGGCCTATTGATCACCACTCATGACACCTACCAATTCTTTATTGTTATTTCTAAAAGTCGATTGAAACCCAATTTTGACTCTCAACTAAACGATCTTGACACAAATGGATGACAACATGTTCGGACAAAACAGGGGTGTGGTCAACGCAAGCCCTCTGGTTGGTTGATCCTTGTTAAGGAGACATGTACACCTGATGCTTTCTTTTAGAAAGGCCTTGTCATGATGTATTGTACTATGAAGTATTTTGAGTCGGGGGTCATCTCAAAAACAATATTTTAAAAATCTTTAATCCTCCCAAAGACACGAGGGCCTGTGGTGTCCAGTGCATCAAAGAGTCACATTTTGGACACATCCTAACTACCTATCCTTATCTACAATGCTGTTTTGATGTTTCATTATTTCATGTTGACAACCAACTGCCCACTGACCGGTGGCCGTTCCCGCTGTGTCCTACGTTCACAATTCGACCCATGGATGACCGTCAAAAGGTTCTCCGGCAGCTTTTCGTTACTGGTCAATAAACTGTCATTCATTGACAAAGACCCCGATAATGCACCCTGAGGTCAGCTCCAGCTGGCGGCCCACCTTGGCTGCAATATAACAATCCAATCAGGAACAGCAATGTGTGTTGTAGCGCCATGGAAATTGATCAAAACTTTACAAAAAGCATGGAAAATGATTAGCATCAAAAGGTTCCAAGTATGCATTAAGAATTAATTTCATGTAATGACTAGTGGTGAGGGTTCCGAAGCAATAAACGATCTGACAAAATCGTTTTCACTGCTATTAGTGGCGCCAAAGAGAAGAGGGATTAAAATGATTATCGATTGAAAATTTCACCAAAAACATATTTTCGATTAATTGGAATTTTGTTGTTTTAGTTTAACACACTTGAATGAAGTTTAAACACACTTGAATGAAGTAAACTAGCGATTAAATTTGACGGCTATTCATGAACAAACATGCGAACATTTGATATTGGAATGAAATATATGTAAATTATAAAAATCTGCCGAACGAAGGGCAGTAAAACAACAACAATGGGTTATAGATCACCAACAACTACATTTTATTGTTTAATTACAATTCCAGTGTCTTTCTTGCATGCATGCATTTCATTGCATGACAGTATTAGTTATAAAGAACATTTATTAGAAAACACCTGGGGAAAAACTTCAAATTGGTGATTTCATTAAAAATGTATATATTTCGATTATAATCGATAATTGTTTACCACAATCCTCCGATAATCGATAGTGCATGTGGTTTCCGATTCCCAACACTAGTAATGACAACAGAACAGAAATTAGGAAGCAGATAGAAATCCAAGAGAACTGTGAAGCATTCATTATGACTGGTCAAACTTGTCCTTATTCCATACGAGGAAAATAACTTACCTTTCGACTCAACAATGTTGTGATCTCCTATTTTCATACATTCAACATCTTGGGTTAGTTAAGGAAAAGAATTCATTAATACAACAGATTATGAGATGAGGAGTGAGTTGTGTGATGCCAGCAATCTTCCAGCCACATCATGGACAAAGTCTGGACAATGCTCCATGCACCGTGGTACAATTTACCAGTGTTTTTCTAACTGCAAGTTCTGGAGACATTCTATCTCATGGCGTTACGGAGCTCACAGGATACAATCTATGACAGAGGAAAATTCGATATTTTGCTTCAGGTAGAACCCTGACATTCGCGACCATCTCGTGTTATTCTAGTACAAGCTGAATACTGACCTGTGCCCCTCTGGAAGGATTTCAGGTTCATGTTCATAAACATCAGCACTACATCAAACAAGAACGATAACTCTGCCTCTTCTATACTCTCTTTCTTCATCTTCAACGTAAATTGGCAAAATTTATACAAAACAAAACAAACCTCCAAGTCTGCTTCATTGATCTCCTCTACCCGTGGAGGTCCGGGTTAGAATGAACCTTCAGTAACCCATGCTTGTCGTAAGAGGCTAACAGGATCGGATGGTCAGGCTCGCTGGCTTGGTTGCACCATCGGTTCCCAATCGCGCAGATCGATGCTCATGCTGTTGATCACTGGATTGTCTGGTCCAGACTTCATTATTTACAAACCGCCGTCATACAGCTGGAATATTGCTGGGTGCGGCGTAAAACTAAACTCACTCACTGTTCTCCTCAGACTTAAACTATATAGTAAGGATGATGAGAGATGGTAGTATCTGTCCATCATTGTATCTCAAGAGTGGTTTGTGTCATCACTGGAGATGTTTGTCATATCCGATGTGTCAAAGAGTCACATGTTGGCTGAAAGACACTCTCACCCAACTACCCAGTGCACAACTGTCTACAGTGCCGATGTAATAATTTCAGTATTTCTAGTTGATTTGGTTGGTTTCTTGTTTAATGCCTCACTCAGCAATATTCCAGCTACTGTAAATGTATTATATTTCGCGCAGGTTTTATTTTCGCGTAAAACATTTTAGCGCGAAAACGTATACACCGCGAATAAACCTGTCATTCATTCAGTCTAGCCACGCTCGCCCCTGAGTTGTTACCATAACACATCAAATTTGAAGACAGAAATCTACGGAAATCTTAAAATGATGACTGATAGTAGCATAAAGAATCATACTTAACTGTCGCTGTAATGGATTTCCCAAAACATAATTAAATAATGAGCCAAATCCCATCACGAATTAGCGAAAACAGCAATGTGTGTTGTGGCGCCATGGAAATTGGTCACATGACAGATGGTTTGATACAAAACAGATTACCATGAAACGACTCGGAAAGAAATAATACAGCAGTATTTTATTTATTCATTAAGATTTTATTTACCAGTACATCATGAAGCTTAATAGTCACTTAACACTCAATCATCTCATTCACAACAACCCGCTTGTTTGAAATCACAAAGAGCTTCATATACAGTAGAAGTTAATTCGTCAGATCGTCAGAATTCGGAACATAAGACTGATGTGTTTGTCATCTCTTCCGTGAGTAAACGGATTACTGTGTACTAGTATATCGCACAGACAGGGATTTCTGTGAGTAAGCAATAAACGCCGCCTGACAGGTTAAGCCACTCTGTTTGTTTTCACTGCTATTAGTGGCGGCCAAAGAGACAGCTGGCAGTTCCGGCAATTACTGATTGTGCGAATAATTGACCGCGCGATGTAGTCTAAACTGTCAATTCCGAGAAAATTGCACCACGCGAAAATAAGTATGTTTACAGTATATGGCGGCGGTCTGGACCAGACAATCCAGTGATCAACATCATAAGCATTGTTCTATGCAATGGAGATACGATGACATGTGTCAACCAAGTCAGCGAGCCTGACCACCCGATGCCGTTAGTCATCCCAAGCCTGGGTTGCTAAAGATCAATTCTAACCCCGATCTTCACGGGTCTATTTCAGGAAGAGAAGTCACTTTCAGCTTTGTTGTGTGATTCTAACCTTACCGCCTCTACCTTAACCTGGAACACTCGCAGGGGCTGGTCACTATTGGCAACAAAGGATACGTGCGCTGACTTCAAACACGTTATTGTTCCCGATGATCATCACCTGTTGGTTTTGATCCTTGTCTTCACATCTGCAACATCATCAACATTTGTAAACTATACAACAGGACAGTCACTGAATACGATCTTATGCTGCTTTTAGCATTATTCCTGCAATATCTATGCAGAGCAAACAAAAAAGGGTTTAACAGAGGCGTAAAACTGTATTCAAACCGTATTCACTCACTCACTCACTCACTCACCTGTTGATGATCTCAACCAGCTCCTCGACAATGTTGAACTCCCCAATGATAATGGGTCCAGCCTCCGCAATGATCCGAGCTTTTGGGTGGATCACGGTCCTTGTTCCTGCAAGGTGAAACATTTTAATTATTATTATAGGATATTTATACAGGCACATCATATTTTCAATCTCAACTCCCTGGGGAGAATACAACAGTTATGTATTGAATCACAGAGATCCTCAGACTAACATCTTGTTTCTGAAATGAATATATCTTACAGAAAGACAAATTAAAGGCACTATTTCACACCCCACTTTTCTAAACATAAGACTGCCTTTATGGTATAGTGGGATAGAGCGTCTGCCCGGACAGCGGAAAGTCGCGGGGTTCGAACCCCGACCAAAAAGACGTTAACATATGGTACTTGTTGGTCCCTGCCTGGCGCTCAGCATTAATGGGTACAACAAGGACTGGTCGGCTCGGAGTCAGTATAATGTGTCTGAGTGGGGTATTCATGCTTAACTGCGGCATGGTATCTCAGTGGGCTGGCACTATAAAACCAGCTAAAGTCTGGGCTAGTACAAGCAGCCACACATACACACGCATGCACGTCATCATATGAGCGAAATATTCTTAAGTATGACGTAAAACCCCATTTCACCTCACCTCACCTCACTAAAAATAAATAATGCAATTCTCTCAATGACACTAACTATCAGCCCTCAGGGAAGCTACCATATAATTTATTCCCAAAAGAATTACATATTTAGATTACAATATTGAATTAAAAAGTTTGAATGAATTAATGCAACGTTGCATTAAATCTACTCTCACTCTCATTACCGGCCGAACATTATTTCAAGCGAACCCCATAGAGTTATGTCCCTTGGAGTGCTCTTGTAACTCAACTTGTGATTGAGACCAGTTCGGCAAACACTGACAACAGTTTTCGATGAACGGAGCAAGTGCTTACATTCCATACATGGCAAGTGTTATCTGTTTGGAAAATGTTTGCTTCGGAGTTTCAATTATTGATGTCCGGCAAGGAATAAGGCATAATGCGTCTTTTATTGCATCCAGATGAAGCTAAAGTAAGTAAGTGAGTGAGTGAGTGAATGGGTGAGTGAGTGAGTGAGTGAGTGAGTGAGTGAGTGAGAGTGAGTGAGTGAGTGAGTGAGTGAGTGAGTGAGTGAGTGAGTGAGTGAGTGAGTGAGTGAGTGAGTGAGTGAAAATTTTATGTCACATCAGCAATATTCCAGCCATATTGTTATCACAAATTAATTAAAACTTGTTTGAGTTAAGAGTAAAATGCTTAATGATTTCGAAACAATACAATATAAACCAGGCTATAGATCGCCAGCAACTGAAGGTAGATCACCATACTAGGGACCATGGAGACTTACAGTACTTTTGCTACCTGCATGGAAACAAGCTGGATTTACATCATTCCTTCAGCTGTTGGCGAATTTTCAGCAATTTAGCCATACATTAAAACTACAAACATTCCACGACTGAAATTCTGACAATGATCAACATATACTACCCATCAAAAGTTTAGATTCACTAGTGTAAATGTAGCCACTTACTTGTCCACTGTTCTAAACTAGCTTTTTGCAAAATATTCCATACTGTTTAAAGGTACTGTTTAGTTATGAACTGGTGTATTGTAAAACATATTCGTAACATTGAAAAGATTATTGTCATGAGTTCAGTAAATGATTAAAATCTGTGAAAATTGGCAAATTCTTAACAAAACTTTACACCAAAACGCATCTGTTCACATGCACGACATTTGCTCATGCCTTTCGCAATTTGAAGCATCATCCTTGTGCAATTCATCTGCATAAGGTTTTCAGTTGGTTCCCCCAAGTTGGTGGAGAAATTCATCTTCGATGTAACCACATACATATACATAACATATAGTGAGTGCTTTAAGTGAGTCTAAACTTTTGATGGGTAGTATACATTGAATGACGTGGTCTTAAGTACCCTCTTCGGAGGGCAGGAAGCTAAAATGAATGAGTGAGTTAAGTTTTACACCACACTCGGCAACATTCCAGCTATAAGGCGGCGTTGTGTAAATAAACGAGTCTGGATCAGACAATCCAGTGATCAACAGCATGAACATTGATTTACACAACTGGGAAGCAATGACATGTGTTAACCCAGTCAGCAGGTCTGCCCACCTGATCCGTTAGTCGCCTCTTACGACAAGCATGGGTTACTGAAGATCACTATTCTAACCAGGACCTTCACAGGTAGAGACAAGCATGGGTTACTGAAGATCAATTCTAACCTGGGTCGGAAGGTAAAGTGAGTGCATATGCTCCAATATATAGTGTTGGGAATCGGAAACCAAATCCACTATGGATTATTGGAGGATTGTGGTGAATGATTATCGATTTTAATCGTAATATATACATTTTTAATGTAATCACCAATTTTAAGGGTTTTTATCTAATTAATGTTGTTTTTTTATAACTAATACTGTCATGCAATGAAATGCACGCATGCAAGAAAGACACTGGAATTGTAATTAAACAATAAAAGTGGTTAAAATTTGACAATGTGCATAGCTTTACGCTGTTGAGCGCATGTTTGTTTGTGAATATTCGTCAGGTTTGATGGTTAGTTTACTTCATTCAAGGGTGTTATACAAAAACAACAAAATTCTGATTAATTGAAAATATGCTTTTACAATTGATAATCATTTTTAATCCTTCTTCCGATCGATTTTTTATTATTTTTTAACTTTGGAACATCACTACCAATAGATATATAATATAGGCCAAAATATTGTCATAAATGTGTGAAATTGTGCCTTTAACTCTATGATATATAATAAGAAGAAGCCAAGAGACTTTCTTATTAAGGTATAGTGCTTCAGACAAATCTTGTTCTTACTGCATAGGTTCACAACAAAATATGTCAGCAAGTAAACAAATGCTGAGTTTGAATAAATAAATTTGATAAAAACGAATAATTACTTATAAATTAAGAAGGAACCAAAGTGGGATGGGTGATTCATAATCTGAGGAAAATATAGACTAAATTTATTCAAGGCTTTTACACTACAGATAGGGCTTGCCAGAAGGGAAAATTTTGTGGTTCAGGGACTGTGAGAAAGGCAAGTTGACAAGTAGTAGAGTGTGTTTCTTTACCCCATTTCCTGGCAAACAAACCTGTCGTTTTACCTGTTACCATGGCTACCTATCAATAGTGATGTCGCCGACCAGCTCACACTCATCACAGATCACAGCACCCGTTTTACCTGTTACCATGGTTACCTACCAATAGTGATGTCGCCGACCAGCTCACACTCATCACAGATCACAGCACCCGTTTTACCTGTTACCATGGCTACCTACCTATAGTGATGTCGCCGACCAGCTCACACTCATCACAGATAACAGCACCCGTTTTACCTGTTACCATGGCTACCTACCAATAGTGATGTCGCCGACCAGCTCACACTCATCACAGATCCCGTTTTACCTGTTACCATGGCTACCTACCAATAGTGATGTCGCCGACCAGCTCACACTCATCACAGATCACAGCACCCGGGGCTATCTTCACACTGGAATATAATTTAATGAGCTTTACAAAAATCTAAGAAAAAATAACTATGATGTGATAAGCTAGAAAAGTCTAGATAAGCTGCCTATCTGTGTAAAATATGCATTGAAATTTCCAAAATATGTACTGAAACATATGTACAGCGTCCCAAACATGCAAAGGAAATTACAGAAAAGCTTTGATAGTTGTTGACTTGCGTACCCTGACTTACCGGTAAAAAACAAATACATAACAGAAAGTAGCTGTCAAGTGTTACGAGTGTAACTGTAAACTTTATGAAGAGAAAGAAACAATCCTGCAATCCCAGCTAGTTATTTTTGTAACACCCATTTTGATTAGTTCTTCTGAAAATATCATCCGATGAAATCACCCGTCTTGTTAGAAAGTCTACACATACATTGTTTATCAACAGAGATGGCCTCTTGGAAATCGTGTGTGCATTCGTCTTCTCAAACATGACCTCAAAGTAAAATTTCGGCATTTGTCACTGTTCGAAATCGATCAATTTCGGCAATGGCTGATTTACTCTATCTCCTATACAAGCATTGTACATCAACCTCATTTATTGTACAAACAACTCATCCCCAATCTACTGTAATAACAAGTCATGTATATATATACTCTCTATTTGTTTCTCATGTATCACTTGCTTGACGACATTAGAATTTATGTCGAAACGTCACCCTTCACAGAATCAAAGAAGTTGTATATCCATAAAAATTGTCATCATTCTTCAAATAATAAAGTAACTTAAAACTTCACATTTTTGTTGTTTCTCTTTAAAATACAACCATATTAATGTCTGAAGTACAAACAATTGGCAATAGTTATCTTTTTAACATTTTTAAATTACTAACATAGTAAATACCCAATTTTAAAAAAAATTGAGTATCCACTGGAAATCAATAGAACACATAACTGACACCATGGGTAAAATACCCAGATTGCAAAATGCTTATAAATATGGAGCTCTGTGTAAGACGAAAACACTAGTGGTGTTCAGATTAACTGAAATAATCAAATATTGGTCGCAGTGACCATACCACCAAGCAATCGATCACATAATCGAACACAAACAATTTTGGAACCACTGTTTTAGTGCTTGAAATAATTGAAGATAGAACATATCTTAGAGGTTGTCAGGGCCTGAAAACATGATTAATTCTTGGAAAACCTACTTCACTTACTGAAAAGTCATGACTGAGTCGGAATATTTCTTGAAGACTCAAGGAAGTTTATGTTCATGATATATTAGTCATCACTTTATAGTAGCAAGTTGCATCATTTTACATTGTATGTGAAATTTGCAAATGCAATGTGCGCAGTTTCTAAATAGAACAAAAAACACACACCAAAGAACCATGCTATACTTATCAGCAATAACAACATGAATAGGAAAATATGAAAAATGACACGAACAAATGTTTTTTTTATGATTGCTCGACAGTAATGAACCAATTATCAATTGTAAGGTTTCAACCAATTCCAAGCACGAATAAACACAGGGAAACTAATTATCATGTCTATCTTAATATGCGGTACATTAGAGTTTTTATTTAACACTGCATTCAGCAGTATCCCAGCTATAGGACGGACGACTGTAAATAATTGAACCTGGGCCGACAATCCAGTCATTGACATAATGAGCATCGATCTACTCAGTTGGGATACAATGACCTGCATCAACCAAGTCAGAGAGCCTGACCACCCGATCCCGTTAGTCGACTCCTGTGACAAACATGGATGACTGAAGACCAATTCTAACCTGTATCTTCTCAGGTAATAGGTCATACAAATTATGTTTACAATAACATAGGCTTCAACACAGTCTAAGTAAACTTTGGCTCAGTATACTCGTTACACTGCTATACTGAGTCTAACAATACCTAGTAGAAGGTCGCATCAGCTAACCTTTGAGCGACCTATGACTGTCCAATCAAACGCGAGACTGCCGAACGGATTTAACCAATCAGACAATGGCTACTTGTTAGGATTCGGCGGGACTTACGAAACGCTTTTTGGATTTTCTCTTCCCTGGTTGCTGACAGTGATCTATCAATAATAAAAATCTGCATAAAACACAGATATTTGACCTGCAGTATACATGCTTATGGGTTTCTAATGACATGGTTACTATTTGCTTACATTTTCGCAAGATTACATCCTTGAATACTGGCAAAAACGCTATTTTCAGCGACTGTTTACTCATGCGTGTATCACATGGAAGCGATCATGCAGAAAATAGCATTCGGAATCGTTCGAGTTTTTGACGTAGAGGTTTAAACAGTGTGTGTTAATGTTAACTTTCATGATTTGGTAAGCTGTGTTCTGATTGATCAGTCCAAAAGGTTAGCTGACGCGAGCCTCTACTAGGTTTTGTCAGACTCAGTATAGCAGTGTAACGAATAATACTGAGCCTAAGTTTACTTAGACTGGCTTCAACACAGTCATGTACAAAAAAAGTATGAACAATTTTGGCATGACTGTTCATTCCCTGTTGTACATTTTACACCATGTTATTTTACCAAGACTAAGAGATTACCTCCCTTTCATACCACTTTGATAAAGATAGTCTTTCTGCAGTAAAATATGCACAGCAGCCTATTCTGGGAATATTTCCAAAAGACCTTTGTGATGACATTTGGTGAGTGAGTTTAGTTTTACGCCGCTTTTAGCAATATTCCAGCAATATCACGGCAGGGGACACCAGAAATGGGCTTCACATTGTACCCATGTGGGGAATGGAACCCGGGTCTTTGGCATAATGAGCGATTGCTTTAACCACAAGGGTACCACACCGCCCCTGTCAAAATGGAGAGTAATCTGAATGCTGCGTCAGATTTTGATTCAAAGTTGCAAAGTGAATAGTCTAGCAATGAACAACATAAGATACAGAAACTTGCTGCTTAATTAGCATGTATGAGGGATTTATCTTGGTTTTCAAACTTGGTGCTTTGATAGGCAACCTGGAAAAAATATTCTTTTCTCCCAAATCATGTTTTCTTAAAACATTCTTGTTTTCCAAAGTTCAAGGTATTTAAAGCATGAATTATGGAATGTTTAATTACAATATGGGAAATTTTAAAGCTAACTTTGCTGAGATGAAGACTTGGATATGTCTCCAAAGTGAGATGTTGCAAATGAGTTATTGTGTGTCTGTTGGTGATATAAGATGTGCCTGAAATGATGCACAATTATTGATATTATAGTCTGTGAGATGTGATGCAGGAGACACATTCACTAGACTGCATCAAGTAGCACTACACAATGCACAGTCTGTTCTGCTCTGATGCCCATTTCCAATGTAAGAACCTCAGTCCTTTTTCTGACACATAGTTATTTGTTTGTTTATTAATTATATCGAATATGAGCTGCCATGGTACATGATCATCACTATATTTGTTCAAGGAACCAAAATCTAAGGGTAAAGTTGCGAACTGACTAACAGAGTTCGGCTAAAACAACTCGACTCAATGATCGAAGAGACACGACTCACGAGTGAATATGCATTTTTCAATACAAACGAAACATTTTTTTCCAGATATATCCGGTTTTACATGGAGCTTTCGGGGGCAAACACATTCTTTACAACAACGCGACCTATGTACTGATGTGCCAGAGCTGTTTTTGTGTCAGAAGGTCCTAAAACAGAGCTGTCAAGCATATCTCTAGCTTTCGACAGCATTCTGTCTAATTGTTTATCAGCGGTGAAATGAAAATAGATGAAGATACATAATAAATGTTTCCATTGGTTCAAGTACTGGACTGAAGACCAAAACCTTTAAGAAATAGGAATATTTGCTAAAAAATTTGCAAATCTCATCTAAATACCTTGCCCTGTTCGTCGCCATCTTGGCCAAACTTTGGTCACATGACTTTTATGATATTATTACAAATTTCAGATACTAAAATTCTTTAGATAATATCAGATATCTCTAATGGTCATTTATGTTTCCAATTGTGGTGAAATTAGACCCCATCCTAGCCATTTGGAATTAGCACTCCTCATTGTGACGTCATCGCGGATATAAATATCAAGGCCGTGCGCTTGCACACACGAAGACGAACAAGCAAAGGGCGAGGAGGGGAGAGATATGTTAAGAGCTTCTGAAGCTATCGTTTTAGACGAGAATTTTGGCCCCCAAAGCAGAGACATTTTAGCCAGTATGCCAGCGTTACAAAGTACAAATATGTACGTATTGATCTTTGTGTTTTGTGTTTGTAAATGACGATGTAATGAAAATGTTTACATTTTGTTGATGAAACCAAAATGGCTGCCATGTTTCCGATTTGCAACACATGTCACAATTTTGCACTTTGTGTTGTCACGATTTAATTCTCTTGTTTATTTTTGTGCACATTTGGGTTAATCTGATCACATCAAGGATCACATAGATATTTAGTTCATATTGTTTTCTATTTTACCTTTCGAATCAAAGAAACTCAACATGGTTCCAAATTTCTGAGAATGTTCAAGGTTTTCAGAAATGGAATCGTTGTCAAGAAGTAATGATCTAACGGTTCGATTTTGTTGTGAGTGAGTTGTACTGACATGGGCTTGTTGGAGTCATGGGTTGACTTGTCATCGTGACCTGAAACTTATCTCTGACAGATCAGCTGATAAGATTGTTTGTATGGAGGGAGGATTGGAAATTGGGTTTCGATGGCGTAGCAGCAAAATTCTAGATGGGCAGTCTTATAAAGTAGGTTTTGGTAGAAACAGATGACTGTCACACGTATTATGGACTATATAGTGTTTCTGTGCCCCTCTCGAACTCAAGTTTGATGTGTGCACAATGCCATTGGTATGAAATGGCCTGGCTCATGGTACTATTGCATCATACCGGATTTGGAAAGATTTTCCCCTGTAAGCCCAATATTTTTTTTATCATTCCATGCCTAAGAATCTAGGCTTATGGTTTCTATAATAAGCCAAAACCTACCCCTAAACCCTAACCCTTGAAATAATCTTAACAAACAGAAAACATTTACTCTTACCCCAGATTTAAGTCGTTTTATTAATGTTTTTAATATGGTTGGGAAACATTGCATTTCGTTGTGTGAAACATTGAAGGCAAGAGCTAATGCCCTCGGGCTGCTTTGCTACACAGAGATCTCATTCTTTGATACTTGGGCTAGTAGTGTTAGGATGAAGGCTTGTTATCTACAATTCTGTCCTTGGCCCTTAAAATTTCACTTTACCATCCCTGTGAAACTTCTCTACTCAGTCAGGGTTAGTTTTGTGGAGATTACTGCTGTTACGCATGTTGACCATGGTAAACAATTGAGTACTGATGACATTGTAAATAAGCAGTAATTATTTGGGATAGTGCTGGGGTATGGAGTAATTTGAGCAAAACTCATTAGCCTCGCTGAGTCATATATTGGCAATATGTGCTGAATCCTTTGTGCAGTGCTGATTAAGATTTGAAAAAGTGTTTTGTAAAGTTCTCTCCTGTGTATAGTTGATTTGACTTGCTGGCTATCTGGGTGCCGTTGTACAAAACAACCTTAGCGTTAAGACTACCTTAGGTCTATGTTAATGTATGGGAGTTATGGTCGCCTTAGAGCTAATATCGCTTTGTACAACAGCACTCTGAGTTGGAGGATTGAAGTTTATTTTAAGTAGACCAAATTACATTGCACAACAGCGATCAAACTGTGCAGTTATTATGATAATACCTCAATATTGAATTACAGTAATCATTGCTTTCACATTTTTCGCTTCCCAAGCAATCTGCCCAAGATAATATCTGAAATAGGTTTCATTGATAATTATTGATGCTACTCACTTTCCTAACAGGTGTTGTTTCAATACAGAATTCTAACTAACAATTATGTTACTGGCAGATGTTGTACCTAATGGAATGTTCTCATTGACTTTGCAACCACTGCAGCCGAAGTTTGGACTGGCATCGTATGTTTTTTTATTCGAGGAGTTGTTTGCTTTTCTCTACCGTACAGTGTTAAGGCTTGGGAGTATTGTCCACACAATGACAGGTTGGCGACTGCCTATTTAACAAGCTATATGTATCATTGATCATTTAAAGGGAGATGATGCTTCCGTTTAGTGATGATTACCAGAGTAAGCATGCTAGGTATGGTTGTTGTAATTGCTCAAGCATATGCAGTTAAAGACATTGTTTTTGTGTATATTCCTCAGCGTTTGGTATTGTCATACAGACCTTGAAACAAATATACCCAGTGCAGCCCATGCATGTCTAGAATGTGTGGCATGTCTAGATTACCATTCAGGTTGAAATTGAAGTCTCTGGGCTCCTTTTTATTGCATTTTATTTTAATTTTAAAACTATTTTCTGTAAAATATGTTCATTTCTGAGACTAGCTGTTAGTCCATGTTGGGGAAACTCAAGGGTTCTAGGTAAAACCAAGACCCAAGCAGCCAGTGTTTGGTATACTATAAGAGGCAGCCTTATATGAGACTGTTCTGCTTGATTTGAACAAGGAAGTATGTTATGAAGTGTCCCATGAGCTGTCTCACTGTGTAATTTATGTTTTCTTTTTAATGATGAAAATAGGTATGCGAACATCAATGGTAGATATGAATAAACAGTGTTCTTTAAAAATGTGGTCCGTGGTTAGCCATGAATGTTGCTGTCTGTAAACGACAGTCCTTGGGTATCTGTTGTGGATTTCCAAGCTTAAAGGCAGGCAAGTTGAGTCAACAGGTCCCTTTTTTTTAAAAAAACAGAATTTTGTCTTCAGTTTTGTGGATGTTCCTTAAATCGAGAGGCATTGTAACAGTATTTTATCACTGCATTCAACACGTTGAGGCCAAAACACAATGCTTTAAAGCTTCTTTCTCTGAATTGCTCCGCTATCAAATTATTATTAGCATGTATTGAGATGTTACTATTTCCAATTTGGTTGTCTGCTGCATACTTGGACCTGGCTAGCTATTCTCGAAACATTCGTAACGCTACGAACTTCTTAAGCCCATTCTTAACACATTGGCTATGATCAAAGTTAAGAATTCTTAGGGCTACGAAAGTTTCGAGAATAAGAGCCCTGGTCTTGAAAATCCCTGGTCTTATACTGTTTTATGTGTATACTGGCCTATGTTTTTTTGATGGCGTAATTGACATGTGCTTGTGTTGCATAATTCAAGAATATATTAAAACCATATCAAGGCTTGATTTAGTTGATTTTACTTGCACTGGTGCAACCCAATATTACAAAGTGCAACCTAGTTATTAGTCTAACTTGCACCAGGCGCAAGTCAATTTTTGAGATGGTAAACTTCTGAATAAAACATCTAAATAATTCAATAGCATATTTCTGATATTACATATCGCAATAAAAACGGTGCAACTGGAATTTGACTGGTGCAACTAGGTTTTTTATCTTAGGTTGCACCTAATGCAGGTAGGTTAACATCTCTTAAATCAAGCCCTGCATATGCATACAGTAACAGTGCGTGTTTCACATGATCACTATTCAAGTTAGTAATTATTTTTCCACTGTATATCTTCCCCTGTAGCTGAATCTGCAAAAAAAACATGTTTGAATCTTCTTGCCCAGACTTATTTTCAGTTGGGTTTAGTCTTTGAATGTGTAGGTGAAAGGATTAAATGACCTAATGTAGATTGTTAAAGTTAAGGACACGCACGCACACACACAAAAAAAACCCCCAAAACATGCCTCTATATAGCATATACTTTTGGCCTCCTCAGTATTGGTGCTCTGTTGATATTGCCTCTTGACAAGGAAGGGTTATACTTTTTTCACAACGTCAAGGTCATGGTGACCTCAGTGCTCAAAAGATATATACAGGTTATTATCACTTGTTGCCCAATGCTATACAAGAAAACTGGTCATACTGAAATAAATCTCCACCCATGACCAGTCACGAACAGAGACACGGCTGGCATGTTGCCAGACTATCAGTTCATGTGTCCATTTTGATGCTGTAAATCAAATGGCTTCTTGTTCAAGGTTGTGAATATATTATCATATTGTGTTATCTACATATGCTGACATGACCGCACACTTTCCTGTCTTGAGCATAGGCGTTGTCCCTATGTGCTCATGCATGCATGTGCAGAGTTTTATTGAGAAATGTACAGATTGTAGTGTGGCTTGCTGTGGCTGCTCTTTAGGTTATTACACTGTCACAGGTCATTTTCACAGGACAAACTAGGCTACGTTTAGTCTCTGAAAGGAATATATTTTACTATAAAAATGTTTCTTAAATACAAATCATAAAATATGAGGAAAAGGAGCCTGGAGACTTTCTCCTGAAACTGTGGTTATCTGGACTTGCCACAAATTCTACAGTTTAGGCTTTCTTGGATATATTTGTTTCAGGGTCAGTATGGCAGACTAAGGTCAAATACTCATATTATCCTCAGCTGGTCTTCAAGTAGCACATATTTAGATGGAGTTTCTAATAACGGATTTGTTATGACTCAACACTTTTGTGGAAGTCACTTGCATGTTATGACTTAATACATTGTATTTTAGAAAACTAGTTTGCTACTTATCTTACCTCACACATAAATGCAGGGTTTTACACAGACTTTGAAAAAAGAGTCCTGGTGACCCACAGTATTTATTTTTTGGAGTCATTTTCAATATTTGGGAGTCATGAAAATTTTAGCGTAATACTTATGTGTGTATATAAAAAGCAACAGTTTTGGAAAGATTTTATTGTTTTGTGTTGTATTGTCATTTATATGTCAGTTAATAAATAGTATGTTTTTCACTGTTCTGTCATAACAAACTCCAGTATACTGAACACATAATCAGGCTTGTAATTTATTCACTGTAACATGCAGTTAGTAACATGAATTGAAAGAAATATCTAAATTAATGAAGACTTCACAAAAACTATCAAATCAATTTTTTTACCTCTCAACTGAATTCTGAGTATCACTCATAAAACTTGCGTCAAGCTTGACTCGTATGATAATATTTTGAGAGTCTTTAGCAAAATTGTTGTGTCAAATACGCAGGAATCCCGCGTCATGTAAAACCCTCTAAATGTCATTTTCTGATTGGCTGAGAGCTCTTCTATTATTTTCAATGTATCATGCTTACAAGCGAGTAACATTTTCTGTGTTACCGCTAATTATGGCTAACTGTGGGAATTCAATTGGTACTCCGTGTCAGTAATTCTTTATCTCGAATAATTGAGTCACATATGATGTACTGAAGTAACCTATGTTTTGC